GGGGCTGGAGGGCGCGGGGCTGGAGGGTGCAGGGCTGGAGGGCGCGGTCTCTGCCCTGGGGTGCAGCACGGGCACAGGCATGCCTGTGACCTGCATGCGAGACATGTGCTCCGCATCGAAATGGGAGGTGGCTGCATGCTTTTTCAGGTTTTACGTGCGGAAACTTTGTTGGCACAAGCACTAGGGAGGGTTTCCCGTTACAGTACGGGGGCCACAGCGACAGCAGGCACAGACAGCAGGCTGTGCCGGTCGACCGGCTCCCTCTAGTCTGACCACAGGCACGGTTGAGGCGGTGTGTGTCAGGCCCCGCCTCACTTGGACAGCTGAGGACCTGGGGCAGCCGCTGGCAGGAGGCTCCTGGAGGGATGGGCTTCTGGCCATGAACCCCGCACACGGTACCTGCACGCTCACCCACGTGGCCCATGTGGCCCCCGATCCCCAGCCCTGCGCCTCTCACGTCCTTACTTGTTGTGTGGACACAAAATGGAAACGACTGATGTGGGATTGGTGGGAACGGAAATTATATAATTGCTCGCCAGCTATTAAAATCCAGGGCGCAGTGCTCTGTGCCACTCGCTGCCCTCCCTGATTTCAGTTGGGGTCAGCATCTTGACAGATGTGGCTCTGGAGTTTGAGTCCTCTCGAGTGGGGGCTTGATCCTCACGAGCAGTTTCTCTTCGTGGGAGCACAGGACATCGAGGCCAGTGTCCCCCACGATGGGGTCTTTTCCACAGCCGTGCTCGGTGGCTCCCCTACTCCCAGCTGGGTGGGGCAGGTTTGTAGTACTCAGCTGTGCAAGGCCCACCCGCGCCTCCTTGCTCATGTCTGTCTCTCCCTCTCACTGCCCACTTCTACTTAGAAGGGGAGGCCCTGTTATTTACTCCATGCTGCTGCTCTGCTCTAGCTCCTAGTGCCCGCAGGCTCTGGACACCATGAATCCAAGGGCTGGGTCCTGGCATAGCTCCCCGCTTCAGCCTGCGTGTGACCTTTGTGGGCGCTTGAGCGCTTGCTGATGGCTTGTGGCAGAGGCCGGAGTTGCCCGCTGCTGTCCCAGCCCCTGCTGTCCCAGCCGGCCCGTTTCCTGCCCCCTCAGCTCCACTGCTGTGCACGCTGCTCTGTGGGGCCTCCTTCCACCTCTGTCCCTGTAGCTCCCCATTCTGCCTGGCTCTTCCATCTTCAGACTCCAGCCCTTGCCTTACGTTCTCATTGTTGACATACAGTATGAAACTCAGCGATGAGAGGTTTTTGCTCACAGATGGTAGATGTTTCAGGCTGTAGTTGGCCAACTCCAAGGCAGCATGGATGGCAGAGGGGCCTGGCAGAGAAGAAACCGTCTATGGCATGGTGACAGGAAGCCGAGAGAGAGCTCGAGGGAGGAGGAGGGCTGTCTGCAGCCCTCCTGGCCGCGCCCCCAGTGGCCTTCCTCCTCCAGCCAGGCTCCGCCTCCCAAGCTCTTTTAGCGCTAAGCTGCTCAGGAGTGATCCACTCGTGAGTTACCGCTCCCTCACGCCCTTATCGCCTCTCAAAAGCCTCGTCTATGTGAGCAAGAGGCTTTAGGGGAACATCTAGGTATGAACCATAACAGACTTCAGCTCCCTTTTCATTACGGCCTTTTTTTTTAGCATTCTTTCCCATGGGCTATAGTGACAAGGTAGGCCCTTTTCTGCTCTTTCTAGTTCCTTTTGTGGCTCATATATTAACACATCTGTGGAGCCCCCATTTAGGGCCATAAACAGGGCCGGGGTCGGGCAGAGGTGGTTCCCAGCTTTGCTGTGTAGGCAGGGGAGGTGGGTGTGATGGAAGTGCTCAGAGGAAGAGCAGCAGAAGGGGCTGGGTGTGTGTGTAGGGGTGGGGTGGGAGGCGACAAGGGGTGGGAGCCAGAGAAAGCACCTTGTCACCAGGGTCACCTCTGCTCTGCTGCCTTTTCAGGACCACCCAGAGAAAGTGGGCAGGGGTCCTCTAAGGGTAATGGGCCTGGTGGGCCACGTAGAGGTGATAAGTACCGAGGAAGTAGTCTTGGATGCTGCTGCTCCTCCTTTCTGCTGTGTCCCAGAGGGTAGACCATGCCAGATGGAGCTGAAGCTCAGCCTGTCTCTGTGACTTTCTCACGTCCACTTTATCTGTGGCCGGCTGCACCCCTGCTCTTGCGAGTTGAGTGGCCATGGTGGGATGGTGGTGTGCAGTTAGGCTCTTGATAGGTTGTGAGCCCCCAGAGGACACAGGCCTGCTCGGTGGGCAGTGGCTGCCAGGTTGCTGAGCGCCAGGTGCCGCACAGATGGCTTGGTGGTAATGCACGCGGAGGTCAGCACTGTGGGATTTGGGGGAACTTGGTATGCTGGTCCGTACCACAGATCTGCTGCTTAAACACCACTGTGTCCACAGCTCGGTATTTGCCTTTGGCAAACGCTGAGCGGCTAATGAGATGTTGAAGAGAATCTCCACCTGATTAATGGTCAGGAGACTCAGCCAGACCATCCTGCCCCGAGCAGGGTGCATTCTTGCCGAGGGCTGGTGGGCTCGTCTGTCACACCCTGATTTGCTGTATTTAAAAGAACCATGTAATAGAGAAGGAGATGGACAGTCAAGCAAAGCTTGGGGTCTGCTTTTAAAACACTCTGGGGCCAGCGAGATAGCTCAGTGAACTAAGCGCCTGCTTTGGCAAGCATAGGGACCAGGGTTTGATCCCTGGTCCGGCACGCTGAGCTGGTGATAGAGTCCAGGTGTGGTGACACATGCCTCAATCCCAGTGCTGGGGAGGCTGAAAATATGAGGATCACTATGAGTCCGAGCTATGTAGTGAGACTCTGTACCAAATACATAAAATGAAAAAACAACTGTCCCTTGTCTTCACAAGGACTGTCTTGGTGGCCAGCCCTCCTGTTCCTCTGGCTTTGCTGGTCAATAAGACCTGCAGTTGGGCAGCGGGAGTCAGGTCGGTGGAGAATGGCTTTCTGGAGTCAGCACCACATGGGTGTGGCGGACAGCCCCTTGCAGAGCTCAATGTCTGGAATGTTGCCAGCCTGCTTTGCAGTGATCGATAATCTGTGACGTTAAAATGTTTGAGCGAGTGGACTATTTTCTGCCTGAAATATCCCAAAACCTGCTGGGAGCAGGACACAGCTGGAAACAGCAAGACCCTTTGGATTTAGGAGGAGGAACGGAAGTAGAGGGGGAAGGAGGAAAAGGATCCGAGGAGAACTGAGATGTGCTACCTCTTGCGTATAATTCCCTGTGAGGCATGTGATCAGCGCGTACTACAAACACAAATAAAATGGACTTTAAAAAAGATCCTCAACACTGTTTCCCTTCTTGTTTACCTCTCTTTCCATTTTTGGCTTCTCTTTGATGTGACGCAGAACCATTTTGGCAAAGCCACAGACAGACGTGTAGCGACAGCTCTTAGCCGTGTCCGGGGCTCCGCGCACATGCCAGGCAGAGCTGGCACTGTCTGCAAATGCCTTTGCACGTGTTGTCCCTGTGACTGCGACCCGTTTGGCCCGTCCCCTGGCCATTTCCCCAGCTCTTGGCTGTGCTTCAGCACTTTGAGAAACATCTCTGCGGAGGGCAGAGTGTGGGTCCTGGTCGCCACCAGCCGACGTGGCTCTGTGTTGAGAGTCAGGCCACCCCCGTGGGGCCAACCAAGGTGCATGGCGGGACACAGCTTGCCCCAACGATGACATCGGGAATGAGTGAAGGTGCAGTCCGAACACACCCTGCACACTGGGAGCTCTCAGATCACCTGGAGCGGAAGCTGGGCCTCCCTGCCTCCTCGGAGCCCCCTGCCAGCTGAGGACTCAGTTACGCTGTCCTTTGAACAAAAGGCCTGGGTTTGCAGAGCCTGAGAAAGGCTAAATTTCCAGCTCAATGAGAAAGTTCTTTTTTTTTTTTGTTTTGAGAAGCTTTGGGCAGGCAGGAAGAAAAACAAAGATGAAGAGCCCTGTTTTGAGCACTCCCTTGATTTCCAGGGGCTCTGGGGGTGGTGGGAGCCTGCCACATTGAACGGTCACACCGTAGGAGGAGGTACGCAGATCCATACCTCAGCAGCCCTGTTCCTGCCTCCCACTCATCACAGAGCTCCCTGTCCCCTTGCCCTCCCCGCTCATCTGGCTAAACATCGGGGACAAGTTGGGGACAGCTGCCACGTGAGTGCACTTTGCCCAGGAGCCTGGTGATCACTGCGCTGGTGCTTTCCCGTCCGTGCTGAGGCTTGCTTGGGCCACACGCACAGAAACAGGAAGCCCTGGCTTGAGGGTGACAAGTCTGTTGTCAGGGTGTCACCATTGTGGATGTCCCAGAATCTTCACGCCCTGCAGGAAGGGCACAGGAGAAGCTCAGGGCCGGGCTGTGCCTCTTCTTGCTGATGCCATGTTTTAGCAGGGCGTGGCTGGTTAGGACTGGGGACCTCCGATGTCACTCGGATCAGCTTCGAGATCTGTTCCCGGATGTGGCTTCCCAGGGCTAACTTCGTC